TTGTTATTGTTACAAGTTTGTTGCTGGCTTTTCTTTCTCGTTACGCCTGGCTCGTAACAGTATCACCAATCAGAAAAGCTTACAGTAGTATAAACTCTGTTGTTGTTCTTCAATTTATTGCTGACCTGACAGATCTAAATACACCAAGACTGTTTGTGGTCAGGTTTTATGATAGTACCGCTAAAGCTCGTACAACATACTATCCTGACAAGACCTCCATACCGAGACAGCACCAGGCGTCAGTATAACAGGAGATACTGCTGGCAATGTTGTTGTAAAGGTGACTAATGTCCAAGAAAACAATGCTGGAATTTACATATTGGTCACTGCAGGATTCTCATCAAAATGTAACTGTTAGTACATATTAGGTAAGTAACACTAGATTAAATCTATATTGTGTCCAATCTAAACTTTTGTTACCAGGTGTCAGAATTACAGGAGATACTGGTGATAATGTAGTTGTTACACTGATAAATGTTCAGCAAAACAATACGGGGGTTTTCACATTGACCAATTAAATCGTTTTGAGGAAATTCTTTTTTTAAAGTTTTGTATATTTCTTTAGAGTTGATTTGGATTGTGCTGTGCGAACAAAGTTCGTTCCTGTTTCAAACTTAAATAGCCGCCTAAATTATAGTAATGCGAGATCGCCCTGTGCTGTTTTAATTTGGTTCGATTTGGTAACGGGCTCGATGCCTTTAATTTCTTATATACTATGTTTATGCTCAAATTTGATGTTTTATTGTTGGTCATTATGATAAATCATTACGAGCAACACTGTCTATATATAAATAAAACATGGTTTCGGATTCCTGGCACATAACGACATTATAGTAGTACGGACGTAATGGAATTTTCGTGTTGTGACGCTTCCACTTCAATTCGTCTAGGTTACGAAATACCATTAGGGCCATCGTAGTAATACTTTATAATCCAGAGGGCGACAATGCGAAAGTGCGATATATAGTGTTTTACATGATAGAATACCGGTATGGGAAAATAATTTTACTTTTGTCAATAGATTTCGTTCTTCTCCTTTTTTGTTTGTTTTTGGTCTATTTTTTATTATTTTTGTATACTGAAATCGTCTGAATATTATGATAGATTAATAAAAAGTAATATTTTATATCAAAAGATACGGTTTAAGAGTTATATATAACATACACGGAAAATGTAATATATTGTGTAAAACTTTAAAAGGAAGTCGAACGATTTCAGATGAAAACAATGTTATGTTGACATTTAAAAGCTGCAAAAAATATTTAATTGGTCAGTAATACATAGAGGATATTTAAGTTTTTCTATAAATACAGGACTTTGTTAATGGAGTGGTATGAAAATAAATATTTCAGGAGTTTCAACAAAGTTTCCCGAAGAACTCCGTGACAGTTATAACAAGAACTTCTGACAAGTTATCATAAGAACTTCATCCTTCGTTTAACATTCCTCCCCCGTGAAAATATAAATAAGAAATTCATGGCAAAATTACATATTTCTCTATAAATCTAATTGGTCAGGAGTTTTCACTGTACGCGTAACTGGTCAACATATTCTGCTTTACATGTGTACGTTTAACTGGTCAGCATAATGCACAGTACGCTAAATCTGCTGACTATATAGTATAAGAAGAAAATATTGAATAAACCACAGAGCAATTTCAAAATGTTAACGTTACTGACATTGCAAAATGAATAAATATTTCACGGCTAATTTCATTTTCCTCTATACATCAGCAGGTTCTCGGTGTTGAGCTAAAATCACTTTGGCTATATATAAAACAAGTGGACACAGAATCTTGTATATCTTATCTGGCCAGCAATCTTTTTTTTTATAATCGAATTTACTTATTACTTTTAAGAAATATAAAAGCGCTTAATGAACCAAGCATCAAATATGACACCATCTTAGATATTGATAAAAATCTAAATGTGTATAGTACAAGGAACGTCCATTTGACATGTATTTTGTAGTTGGATATTCAAATAACCAACTACCTACTAGCTGGTATTGGTTATTCCTAATCCCCAGCTACCCACTAGTAGTAGTTGGTTATTCGAAATTCGCATGTTTTCCCCTAAAAAAAAATAAATAAAAAACAACAAAAAACAGAAAGTACTTTTACGGAATAAATATAATGGAGATATAAATTGTGTTCTTCAACATTAATACACATTGTCTCACTATGTGCGCCAGGGAAATCAGTTGGTTTTATTTATTTATGCTGACAAGTTAAATTTATAGTGAAAATTGCTGACAACTTATATTATATGTATAGAAAGAAATATGTTTTGACGAAAATTTCTTATTTTTTAACAAGCAGAAGCCGTAGCAGCAATAACAGTAGCAGTAGCAGCAGCAGAAGCAGCAGCAGTAGAAGAAGTAGTAAAAGTAGTAGTTGTTGTAATAGTAGTAAAATAAGTAGTAGTAGGAGCAACAGCAGCAGCAGTAGTAGTAGTAGTAATAGTAGTAGAAAAAGTAGTAATCATAATTGAAACAGAAGCAAATGCAGCAACAACAACAGCAGCAGCAGTACAAGTAGTAGACGTAGCAATAGCTTAAGGAGTAGTGTCGCACAAGCAGTCGCAGCAGGGGCAACAGAAGTAGTAGAAGCAAAATAAGTAGCAGCAGCAGCAGCAGTAAAAGTAGAAGCAGAAAAAGTAGTAGTAGTAGTAGTGGTAGTGGTAGTGGTAGTGGTAGTAGTAGTAGTAGTAGAAGTAGTAGTAGTTGTAGTTATAGAAGTAAAAATAGTAGAAGTAGTAGCAACAGTATCAGCAGAAGCAGTAGCAGTAGCTATAGCAGCAGCAGCTGTAGTAGTAGCAGTAGCACAAGCAGTAATAGCAAAAGTGTATCAAAGAAAAGAGCACTAGAAGTAATAGTAAAAACAGATGACAGTCATGTAGTATCGACGGTCTTTCTGGTGGTAGCGGCAGTTGTGGTAGGAGTAGAAGTGTATCGATTGTTGTACAATTAGTTAAAGCAGTGGTTCTTGGAATAGTGCATCGAGCAGAAGCAGAAGAAGCATAATCAGTATCAGTTTTAGCAGTAGTATAAGTAGATGAAGCGGTAGCAGTATAAAAAGCTGCAGTAACAGCGAACGTCTGTTATTTTCAACTTAATAATCTTTTTTATAGCATTTGAGTGATATTTCGTTTTTTTCCACAATTATTTTATAGCAGAATTTATTTATTTACATGTAGTCCTATAAAAATAAATATCAAAATGAAATCATAGCTTTTATTACAAAACTTGGTTTAGTTTTAATGTATGAATTATGATCTTAATTTTAAAAAGAGGAGAAATACAATCTTATTTTTGCAGTTGTTTGTACTCATTTAAAGCATGAAAGTCAATTTTCAAAAACACAAGAAATGAGATTTTCTTATTTCTTTTTGACTTTCATTTATAATAAGTTGGGTAAAGTGTAATAATACTGTATCTTACTGTGTTTCAAACGCTATTTATTTTGTAACTGTAAATGTAGGTCTTAAACTAACGGCCAGAACTTAAATAATGCTTTGATTATTTAATTTATCAATTGTTATACCTTAATATAAGATATATAATCATCTTTTGATGATTCTGATACAGTACACAGTTGTTATGGGAGCCATATTAACTTCAGGAACACCAAGAAAATCCACAGTTACAGTAAATACAAAACCGTCAGTAGGAGAGAGTGTAACATTAACATGTAGCAACACCCAGTAACCACAGCCTCAGTCTGACATACTCCTGGAGAGTTAACAACACAGACAATCCAGGTGGCTCCAAATATACATACACTTCTAGTTAGGATAAACTTACTGTAAACAACATTGTAAAGGAGGATGCCAATAAACAGTTTTCATGTACAGCTACAGAAGTTGTCACTGGTGGATATACATCTAGCAGAAGTGATACGCTCTTATTAAAATTTTTGATGTTTACTGTAAGTATATCTTATGTCACTTATTTTATACAACACAATGAAGTGATACATTGTCTTTTGATGTTTATTGCAATTTTATCTTATGTCACTAATACCATACAATAAGCAAAAGTGATACATTCTCTTTTGATGTTTATTGTAAGATTATATTATGTAACTTATTCTATACCACAAACTGAAGAGATATATTCTCATTTGATATCTATTGTAAGAATATCCTAAGTCACTTACACTATACAGAAAACAGAAGTTATACATCCTCATTTGATGTTTATAGTAAGTATATCCTATGTCACTTATACTATACAACAAACAGAAGTGATACATATTCATTTGATGTTTATAGTAAGTATATCCTATGTCACTTATACTATACAACAAACAGAAGTTATACATCCTCATTTGATGTTTATTGTAAGTATATCCTATGTCACTTATACTATACAACAAACAGAAGTTATACATCCTCATTTGATGTTTATAGTAAGTATATCCTATGTCACTTATACTATGCAACAAACAAAAGTGATACATTCTTATTTGATGTTTATTTTAAGTATATCCAACGTCGCTTATACTATACAACAAACAGAAGTGATACATGCTTATTTCATGCCTATTGTTAGTATATCGTATGTTACTGAAACAATACAACAAACAAAAGTGATTCATTCTCATTTGATATCAATTGTAAGTATATCCTATTTCACTTATATAATACAATGAACAAAACTTATACATTCTCATTTGATGTTTTTTGTAAGTTTATCTTATGTCACTTATACTATACAACAAACAACAGTGATACACTATCATTTGATGTATATGGTAAATTTATCTCATCTGTTTTACAACCAAACTTTGGCCCTGTGTACTACGTATGGGAAAGTAGAAAAGTAACAAGGTTATAGATTGAAAAAGGGCAAATTTATTTATTTGCCTTGAATGTTTAAACAAGTAAATATAACTACGGCAAATTTATTTATTTGCCATGAAAGTTTAAACAAATAACTACATATAACATATTTTTCCATATCTGGGCGACGAAAACCGCCCTTTAAACAAGTAAATATTAGTATTTATAACATATTTGTCTGTGTCTCAAAATTTAACAAGTTCATATAAATAACAACAAAGAGAAGTGGTGTCAAAATTATAAGAAGTAATAGAAACAGGTGGTGTCAATATTATAAGAAATAATAAAAACCAACAGCCAAACAGAGAGTAAACAAAATAAGAGGTGGAGGAAAAGGGAGGCGGCGGTTAAACAAAATGAATAAGCGTGTTATCCTTCGTAAAATAATGGCTAAGAATGAAGATGCCGGATCTTGATTGGTTAAGAAAGTCATGTGATAAAATTGTACTCTCTGATTGGTTAATGGTAATTCCTAAAATAGCATATCAGTGGAAGGGAATTCAATTCACGAAAAGTACAACAATGTTATAAATTATTTTATATGTTTATAAAATATATTTATCTCATCTGTTTTACAACCAAACTTCGGCCCTGTGTACTACGTATGGGAAAATAGAAAAGTAACAAGGTTATAGATTGAAAAAGGGCAAATTTATTTATTTGCCTTGAATGTTTAAACAAGTAAATATAACTACGGCAAATTTATTTATTTGCCATGAAAGTTTAAACAAATAACTACATATAACATATTTTTCCATATCTGGGCGACGAAAACCGCCACAAAAGACCAGGAGACCTGGTCTGCCGCCCAACCTGCCGTTCCCGGAACATACGAAACTGGCAATCGTAGTAAGACCAGGCAAGGCCCGGTCTCCGGCTAGCTAGGTCCCGCACAATTTCCCCATATTTCATTAACTGTGGGGTCTCATGCGGGTAGGTTGTGGAGTAGATTGCCACAAACCTTAAGAATGCAGTAGTCCAACAGTCAATATTATGTATTCTCTTAGTATTTGTTGAGGGGACCAGGCTCAAATGGTTTTTGGAATTGACTGTCAGTGAAAATTGGTCCTGATGTGACATTGATAGTGCCATGTTTGGCAGAAGAGTTGCAAAGTCGACAAATTTGTTGGACTGAATTTTCCTAATAATTTTGTTAGGAATTGAATGTGAAATAGGTGTGGAAACAGGCTCTTCAAATTGTGATAGACCAATGTTACCTGCCAGGTTATATGTGTGGTTATGAATTACACTATCTAAATTAAAAATGTCATCATCACTTTCAGAGTCATCACTTTCAGAGTCATCAGTGCTAGTGTCCGAACTCTGTTGGACCTGTAATGGTGGCAGATGGCTGTGTGGAGGTGGAACCCTTTGTGTTGTAGATGGCTGTGACGGCGTAGGTAGACTGTTGGCATTGTGATTACTTTTGTTGCGTCTTCTTATATGTTTACTGCTATTCTTAGATTTTGTTCTTTTCTCATGATTCCTTGTTGTCACATTGTCATGATTGTGTATGGTATCGTCCTCTGGACTATGGTTTGTTTGACTACTGTTCTTAGCTTTTGTTCTTTTCCTTGTAGTCACATTGTCATGATTGTGCACGGCATCGTCCTCTGGACTAAGGCTTGATGTACCCGCCGTACAACATGGTAACAGGCATTTACTGACAGTAGCCGTACGTTTATTGCGTTTCATCTGGAATTAGGAAAAAAGAGGGATGGGTTATAAATGAATCGAATAACCTGAATTAACATGGGATGTGTACCTCCGAACCAAGAACAGAAAACATTACAGTATTGTTATGTATATAATAACATAGACTGACAAAATATACATAAAATAGTTTAAACGTAGTCGCCTAAACATTTACACCAGAGCACGGTCTGGAGACATGTACATCAGATCTTAGTCTGGAAAAACATTAACATCAGAACATAGTCTGGAAAACCATAAACATCAGAACGTAGTCTGGAAACATGTTCATCAGAACATAGTCTGGAAAACATGTACATCAGAACATAGTCTGGAAAACCACAAACATCAGAACGTAGTCTGGAAACATGTTCATCAGAACATAGTCTGGAAAACATGTACATCAGAACATCGTCTGGAAAACATGCTAGGTGCTAGGGGGCGTGAGGGATGTTGCACTTTTCATTATCCCTCATGTACAGACTCAATCAAACCGAGTCTGCAATTCTTATGTTATTTTGTTGTGATTAATGCTTCCGAGGGATCACTTTGTTTCCAGAATTTTGTACTTCACAACAGCAGGTGTCAAGTGCCGTGTGGCAGCCGTAAAAAGTTGCCCCGTACTTCACTTCAGTGTTGTTATATTTTCTGGTCCTTCGGGATCATTGATGCCAACACTATAAAGTGTTGAGAATTGAGTACCGCTCAAGCCGGTGCTAGGGGGCGTGAGGGATGTTGCACTTTTTCATTATCCCTCATGTACAGACTCAATCAAACCGAGTCTGCAATTCTTATATTATTTTGTTGTGATTAATGCTTCCGAGGGATCACTTTGTTTCAAGAATTATGTACATCAGAACGTAGTCTGGAAAAACATTAACAGCAGAACGTAGTCTGGAAAGTTAACATCAGAACATAGTCTGGAAAAACATTAACATCAGAACAGAGTCTGGTAAAACTTATACATCAGACCAAGTCTGGAAAAACATAAACATCAGAACATAGTCTGGACAAAAAACAAAATAACATTAACATCAGAACATAGTCTGGAAAAACAATACATCAGACGTTGTCTGGAAAGACAAAAAGTAGTCGAAACAGAGACATTTTTAGTGTCGGCATAACTGACTGGTACCGTATCACAAAGTTGAATATCTATATAATTAAAAGTTGGTATTTTTTATCATTAACACAAGTTAACGATTGTGTGTGATGGTAAGCATAATGCCTTCACAACCATTATAAAATTCTGGAAACAAAGTGATCCTTCGGAAGCATTAATCACAACAAAATAACATAAGAATTGCAGACTCGGTTTGATTGAGTCTGTACATGAGGGATAATGAATAAGTGCAACATCCCTCACGCCCCCTAGCACCGGCTTGAGCGGTACTCAATTCTCAACACTTTATAGTGTTGGTATCAATGATCCCGGAGGACCAGAAAATATAACAACACTGAAGTGAAGTACGGGGCAACTTTTTACGACTGCCACACAGCACTTGACACCTGCTGTTGTGAAGTACAAAATTCTGGAAACAAAGTGATCCTTCGGAAGTATTAATCACAACAAAATAACATAAGAATTGCAGACTCGGTTTGATTGAGTCTGTACATGAGGGATAATGAAAAAGTAGAACCACTAAGACATTATCAGTATGTGAAATAAAGAGTAAAGTAGCTTAAACTATTGTAGATGTGACTTAAACTGTATACATTAGATTTATAAATGATATAAAAGGCTGTATATAGTTCTCAACTTGAAAGTTCATCGCTAAACAGCGAACAGTGAGAAATATAAAACATATACATATCTTGATTCTTATAGAAGCCATTTGTTCAATGTATGCACCACTGCAGCACGGATGTTTGAATATAACTTCTTCTGGCCCACATCTGATAAATGTACTCCATCCAAGGAAAAGGACTGTTTTGTAGCCTCTGGTGACCAGAACCCTTTGAGGCGCCAGAAAATGACGTGATCATGTGGAAGCATTTGGATTCTGGAAGAGAGCAAATGATTCGTCTCATCGACCCGGTTGTTGAACCATTCTGTGTCAACTCTGTACCTGCCCGTGGAGGTCGGTTGTCGATGCAGAATTTGACAGACCACTACTTTCTTGACTCGACATAAGAATATAAGACTGTCAACCAAATCTAAAATCGATGACGTGAGGGAAACTGCCGTTACCTCTGGACTAAAGAGATCGTTCGTTCCAATCAATAGAACAACAATATCAGGCAAAAAATCCAGAATGTCCGTTAAATTTGACCGTAATGTGCCGACCACTGCTCCGGAATAGCCAGAATATTGTACCAGAGGAGATGAAGATAAATTTAAATTGAAACGCAGCTGTACTTGATCGCGTAGAAAGCCTTTCAGACGTTTCACAAATGAATGTCCAAATATTTGGATGGAAGCGGCCATCTTGAATCTGCAAAACGCACTGCCTTCAGTAATGAGAACAAAAACGTCAAAATTTATCACTTCAACATATCCGTGCTGCAGGGATTTACCTCTAATATGATGTAAAAACACCTTTATCAATTATTACCGTATAATGTTGTTTAAGATATGACTTAATTATAGCGTAAATAACAGAATCTTAAACAAAATGAATAAGCGTGTTATCCTTCGTAAAATGATGGCTAAGAATGAAGATGCCGGATCTTGATTGGTTAAGAAAGTCATGTGATAAGATTGTACTCTCTGACTGGTTAATGGTAATTCCTAAAATAGCATATCAGTGGAAGGGAATTCAATTCACGAAAAGTACAACAATGTTATAAATTATTTTATATGTTTATAAAATATACATATCCTCTATCACATAAATACCCGACAACAAACAGAAGTTATACATCCTATTGTTAGTATATCGTATGTAACTTAAACAATACAACACACAGAAGTGATTCATTCTCATTCGATATTTATTGTAAGTATATACTATTTCACTTATACTATACAACAAACAAAGGTGATATATTCTCATGTGATGTCTATTGTTAGTTTATCACATATCACTTATACTATACAACAAACAAAAGTGAAACATTTTTATTTGATGTTTATAGTAAGTATATGTTTTATCACTTATACTTTGCATGAAACAAATGTGATACATTCTAATTTGATGTTGAATGTAATTCTAACAGTTTGCGATGGAATATTAATTGATCATTTGTTTTGCAATGATTGATGCTAGACCTTTTGATTTTATTATATTAAACTGAGCTGGGATTGTCGTACATTTGCTTCTTCTCTGTTTCTTATTTGTGCATGGATGCACACTGAAATATAATTAAAGAAACGAAATACTTGAAATTTTGCTATATTTTTGTAACACTTTTTTGTAATGTTACCGAGAGAAAGTTCTTGTGTACATTTTGTTTTTAAGCTAGGCCCATTTTCTTAACAAATCACTTAATATTATTAAGGAATATTCAGTAACATGACTGAAACTGGACAAGGGAACACACATTTTTATGGAATTCTGTCAGATGTTATACTATTTAACTTCTATATAAGTGCGCGTTGTCAGACCGTACATGTCACGGACCGAATATGGCACACGTGTGATATATTCGCTTCGAATTTGTCTAACGTGTGACATATTTGGTCAGATATGGCACACTCATCAGCCGAAAATGGATCATAGAATGTGCCATATTCGGTTGAATTGAGTTTTTATATGCTCACCAAAAATATGTGTCACTTACCAAAATTGTAAATAAAAATGAAAACACGAACGTATATGTCGCATGTGGAGTTTTTCGTCAATAAGTCTGTTTTGCACAATACCGTTTATGAAAAATAAAAACCTAATGACGAAATCGTAAATACGACAACCGCCATCTTCATTATCATCAAGAGCAGCAGCATTATCATCATCAATATTATGATCACAAGTATATAATAATCAAATATTTCACCGATTTTTTAAAAAGTATTTAATAAAAAAATATTTCATCGATTTTTTTTAAAGGAAACAATAAACAAATATGTCACCAACTAAGCGCAAAACATATTTCGTGAGTATCGTACTGCAATATCCCTGAACGTTTACGGAGGAAGTTCTAAATGTGGAGTGAACAGAACGCCATTCATGCTATCTCCTCTCGTGAGCACCACTGTATAATTATACACCTGGCTTGTGGCGTGAAGAAAATAATTTATGAAAATGTTCAAAATCGTGTTATCATAATTAAAACAGTTAATTGATTTGATTTTGCTTATATCTAAGTCACGGTGTCAAAAAATTAATTCTATTTAGTGGTTCAACGTCATTTTTTAAAGAGCATACCAAAATCACGCTTTGTGCGTAACTTACAAGTTCCATAGTCATGTCCCTAGTTTAAATATTGTTGATGCTGCACGCGACACAAACCGCCTATTCCCTATTTTACTGAATCAAGGGAATAACTCTGACATGACTGCCCGAATCGACAAGCGAAATGTCAAATGCACAATAACATAATACTGGCAAATATTCATGTACAATTTCAAGACCCCTAACTTTATGATTAACTGGGCAATACTAAAGATGCGGGACGGACAGACGCACGTACTCATACACATACGCACAGACAAGAAAACGTTAAAACCCCCTCCCCTCAGAGTTGGGGCATGAAAAGTCGGTATTTTATCTTCAAGTCAATAAATATGAATGTCCAAAATATTAAGCACATATTTTCGACAAGCCAGACATTGTGTATTGACACAGTTTCATCGTACTGGTAAAATGATAAGCAAGGCGCCGTGAATGACGATGATGATGTATCATTGATGAAAATGATGATGATGTTGTTGTTGTTGTTGTTCATGATGATTATTAACATTGATGAATGTAGGCGAAAACGGCGATAATAATGTTAGTTAACCGTGTAAAATTTGTTACATATACGGTCAGGCATTGACGTCCAAATTACATAAACGTATATGGCAAATAAACATCTGTGATTAATTCGGCCGAATATGTCCCACACGTGTGACATATACGTTCTGTGGCAAATACTGTCTGACAGCGCATAGTTTAACAACCTCTTTAAAGAAACATTCTTTTGTAGCTAACATGCCCCAAACATCTTTATTACCATCAAAACAAACAACAGCAACGCCAAGCAAAACTACAGCAGCATCAATTAAAACAACATAAGCCCAAACCATATCTGTTTCCTCAATTACTACTGCATCACCAAGACGTAATTATACTTTTATTTGTGTTTTATATACTTCATTGTTTTTAATTTGTACACTGATGTTTTAAAGACTTGCACACACATTCTTTTACACCCATCAGTTATTCATGGAATAACATTTCATGTCAAATCGTATAAACATCGCCGGATGAATTCTTTTTTTAATTTAAATTAAATATAGTTTCATATTAACATGTTCGTCATCATGATATGTTCCGTTTAAACCATTTATAACCACCTATCCGTCTGTGAATACGGCCAATCAATACGAGACTGCATTTTATTTTATTTTCTCATTGACAAATTTATTTGGTAACCTTCTTGATAATTGTAACATATTTTGATAGAAACGAGATTATAAATGTTATGAAAAGAATTAATGACTAATTCCAAATAACAAAGAATTTTCATCATTTAATTAGTACCATTGCAACCACCTCTGATGATAAAGAACTGAATCTATTTTCAAAACTATTTTCTTAATAATACTTTTAATTATCAAAACACTTTCACCGTCAGAATAAGAATGACAGTTCTGCAACCGCCTTTTAAATCAGCAAAATGTTCTAAATATTTCACAGCTACTTTCATCTTTAGTAATATGAACTATTCTTTTGTAGACGTAACTACTTCATCTTAACATTTCTTATATGTGCAATTATTACAATCAATATCAGAATCTCCGTTAACAATTATATTTTGGCAACTTATTAACTCATTAATATTAATTCAATTTCAATATCATCTTCTTCAGTATTTTTACATCTTTGAATTACTCTACAACTTCCCCTTCCCCCCCCCATCCTTCTGCATGTAATAAATAAATTGTACACACAACTGCTGTAAAACACCAGGTGTTAATCTATCTTTGATATTATAATGAGTAGTACCAAAAGGTTTCTTATTTTAAGCATGCACTTATGTACGTGAGCTTTAACTTGCAATGTCAACTATTGTGAAAATATGGTAAAAAACGCACCTGCAACATTTTATTGCAATGTTGAGTACCATTATTTTTTTGTGTGTCACCTCATTAGTGAACAAGTGGAAGTGTTTAAAAGTTTTGAATAGTATGCCTTTTTGCTTAATATTTTTTAGTTTTTACATGTACAGAAGTCTTGGTTGTTTAATATATTGCCCTAGCACAACACGCAACTCATCCTGAAGCAAGCCCTTGTGATCCAATTAATGGCGGATCTGACGATGCCTATGTTCTTTCCTCGTGTAACATGACGTCACCGATGATGTGGAGAAGAAGGATAAGTGTAAAACGCCTTCTATGCATTTGATAAAAATTATTTTGGTTGTAAACTATTTAAATTTGAATCGAACACTTTGAAACTGATGGTTGGGTTGTTATATTACGTAAAGTTATGCCTGAAACAAATTTATTCGTGTAAATGATAAGTATGATTAAACAATATCAATATTATGTTGTTGACATAATACTATGTTTAGTTTGATAATATCATAGTTTGAATTGGACATTTTACTTTATAATATCACTTCAACTAGCAGTCAATGTGTTATTTTGTTTTATGTTTCAGATAATGACTGATTGCAAATCCAACACGCATTTGATTCCAGGATTTACTCCAATATCGACATTTGCACAGGATAATTATAACTCCATAGGTTCACAATCGGGTGTATTTCTTGAATGTTACAATAGCGGATTTAAGGTAAAAACAATGAAAGGTAAAATAAGTAAAAACAACTAAATACAAACGGGATTGATTCGTATTTCGTAACGTAAATTATTAACATAGTAATCTTTAAATACTCATTAAATAAAACTATACAAATATTTGGTATTGTATGAATAACTATTCAGATGGAAACAAGTGTCTTTGATAAGTAGGAAGCCAGTTTCTCTAGGAACAACAACACTGGTCTGAACCCCTTGCGCCACACAATGTTTCACTCATGAAGGCGAACATTTATACTCTGTACTTTAAAATAACGTTGTGAAAGACGAAACACATAATTTCTGACATTTGATCTCAAAATTAGGTTTAACCTAAAGTTAGAACTCCCAAACTTAGCCTTCGTTTGTACATTACAAAATTAAATAGTTTTGGAATTATCAAGGAATGACAGTCAACGAGCTGATACTAAAAGTACCCCGCAAATTATTGAAACAACATTTAAACCATGATTTTACATGTTAATATTTGTTATTCACAGTTGTGAAAATTTCTGAAAGGTTATATAAAAAATCAAAAGGTAATAACAACGCTTGAATATGAGAGATGATATCGATAGAATAACAAAATTACTAATCATGGAATCAAAATGTCTAAGTATTCACTTAATGGGGAAAAACACTCTTAACATATATTGAAAGGAAACGATACCATACCATTCACAATATCCTACTTACGTTAAGATTAGATTTAGATTATGCCACACTGTTGCGAGTAAATATCTATGTAAACAAAAATACAGGAAAAGACAATAACATTTAATGTTCATTTAACACAAGAGGTAACAATCTTATATTCAGTATGATGAAGGACATACATGTTTAATTGAATTTTTTTTTAACATAATCAGCAGTGATCGATTTTATAGGGTAATTGAAAATATTTTAGGACACACTGCTCAACTTGCAGCTGAATAAACTGCACATTGGATAATTTTAAATAACAAGAAAAAAGTTGTTAGTTGGGTGAGTTGTTGTTCAGTACTTTAAAATAACACTACTTACCAATCTTGTATTAAAACAATAGAATGTCACCTGCAAGAATAAATACAATCGTCAAAATACTTAAGACATGCGCTGAGGTCTGCCTACACAATCAAACGCACACATGTAGCGTAATATGTAGGCAGTGAAAAGCGGTTGATAAAGCAGTTATCTGTAAATCTTAAAATTACATTGGGTGATAACAAAAGCGAACAAATAAAACGATAAAGCACAAAATGATACACAAAAGGCAGCGTTAAAGAAAGCTAATCACAGTAAGTAGATAGACGAAATCACTGTGCCCTGGTTTGCGAGCCAATACAATTCAATGTAGACTACGTCTAGAAATAAAAGCACTTATTTTTTCGCTCATTGTAACTTTTTATAGATCCTATACGTCTGTACCTTTCTTACGAGAACAGAATGTAGACAAGTTTAAACACCGTGCTGTTGAAATAAACACATGTGTATTATTGTAAAAAGAAACCTTACATATACTCCATCTTTTCTAAGGCCAGCTTCTATTTTGTATAGTACTATTTACTTTTGTAACACATATATATGTATTTCTATATAAAATAAAGAAACGTTAACCACATCTTATCTTAATTCAGATGGCGATCCAAAGTTGCAACCAAAATCCTGAGATTATTCATATTGAAGGTGGTGCACAATTCAACAATGACCGTAATAACTATTATGTTATTGTCTTAGATATTCTCATATTGCATATTGACGCGATGCCGTGTTCTCTTTTATTTCTTATGGTCTTTTTATGGACATAAGAACCTTACAAAAGTAACAATTTTCATGCATCAAACACAGCATTATTTTGAAAAAAAAATGTTAAACATTGTGGATAAACACTTTTATTCTGTTTTCTTCTTTGTGACGTAGACTTTTGAACTAGAGACCAAAGATCAATAGGGTCATCTAATAGTTATGACCAATCAATAGTAGAAATATGAAGACTTTGTGATAAACAGCTTTCAAGTTAATGAGCGGAAACCATACATTCAAGAGCCCTGTGACCTTGACCTAGTGACTCCAAAATCAATAGGGGTCACTTACTAGTTATGACCAATCAGTATGTGAAATATGAAGACTTTTCGGTTAATAGTTTTCAAGATAATAAGTGGAAACAATTCCAATATTTAAGACCTTCTGTGACCTTGACCTTTGAACTAGTCACCCCAAAAGCAATACGGGTCATTTGGTGATTGTGACCAATCAGTATGTGAAATATGAAGGCTTTGTGATAATTATCTTTCAAGATAATGAGCTGAAATCATACTACCATTGAAAGAGCCTTTGACCGTGACCTTTGACTAGGTGACCAGAGAATCAATAGGGGTCATCTACTAGTTATGAACTATCATTAAGTGAAATATGATCACTTTTTGATAAATAGTAACCAAGATAATAAACGGAAATCGTATTACCATTCGAGGCCCCTGTGACCTTTACCTTTGACCTAGTGACCGCAAAATCAAAAGGGGTCATCTACTAGTTATGACCAACAATATGTGAAATATGAAGACTTTGTTATGAGTAGATAATCAAAAGAAACCATTCTAACATTTAATGCCCCTGTGACCTTGACCTTTGACCTAGTGACTCTAATATGAAAAGCGGTCATCTACTAGTTATGACCAATCAATACGTGAAAATGAAGACTTTCTGATGAATACTTTTCTAGATAATGAGTGGAAACCATTCTGACATTTAAGACCTCTGTGTCCTTGACCTTTGACCTTATAACGCCAAAATTAATTGTTGTCTTTTACTATTTATGACAAATCAATAAATGAAATATGAAGACTTTGTGATAATTTTAACCAAGATAATGGGCGGAAACCATTCTGACATTTAAGGCCTATATGACCCAGACATTTTACCTGATATCCATAATATCAATAGGGGTTATCTACTAGTTACGACCAATCACCATGTAAAATATGACGACTTTGTGATGTTTACTTTCCATGATAATCAGCGAAAACCATTTTGACATTTAAGGCCCCTGTGACCTTGATCTTTGACCTAGTGACCCCAAAGTCATTTACTAGTTATGACAAATTACTATGTGAAATATAAAGATTTTGTGATTAATAGTTTCGAAGATAATCAGCAGAAACCATGTCTACCGACGGACAGAGCAAAAGACCGACATAAGCAAAATTGATATACCCCCCTGTTCTTCGAAGGAGGGCAAAACTCGAAAATTTAAAAGTACCGAATCTTTGTGCTCAATAGATTTAAACAAAAAAGTACTCTAACACTTGTGGTTTTGACATTATACCCACAGAAGAAACAAGATCGATCAGTGATCACATGTGTCCGATTGCATGTTGCAGCAATTGTGTAGCAGGAGACACAAGTATCATTAACAGAGCAAAACGCGTTCTTTATTCCAGGGCCATAACTCCAAGGCCAAATATCGTTCAACCGGAAAACCCATGTTCTATGCAAAAGTGCTTTAGCTACCAATCAATCCTGTAAAGTTTCATTGAAATTGCAGAAGTAGTAGAAGTAGAAGTGCGGACAAACTTTAAAAATTTAAATCATAAAAGGTCCATAAAATAGAGAAAATAAGAATCCCTAAAGAAAGCCCAACAAGACAAAAGGCTCGGTTTAATTGAGCTTGTTCATGAATGGTAATGGAAAGTGCAAGTTACTGACATAATCTGACATAACCATTAAACCGGAAAATGCCGAAAATATGCACAACTAACTTTGCATTAATCATTCCTTTTAAGTTTCGACGAAATTGCACAACTAGTTTTTTAGGTGTAGTCCGGACAGGATTCTAGCTGGCAGCACACAGAAACACCTTTTTTATTAAAGGGCAACAACTGGGCAAAAAAAACAGTCAACCAAAAAACCAGTGTAATAAGCGCAAGTACTTGAGCTACAGAACAATTCTGTATTTTTTTCGCTGAAATTGCATAAGTGTTATAAGAGAAGTAGTCCGTACAAACTCTAAAAGTAAAACTAATTAAGGAGTCATAACTCTGAAAAAATATGCCGATCATATTCATGACTAGACTAGGTACTGATTATTCCTTAAAGTTTGGATGGAATTGCACAAGTCATCCGAACAAGTTTTGCGACGGGCGGATGAGCAGACAGACGAACGAACGGATAGACAGACGACGGAGAAGTGACAGTAGGGTGCAAAATAATGTCAATTTAATACTAAAATCAGCAGCGTAAATAATATTCGCTTGAAAGAAAAGCGATAGTGAACTACTTTTATTATAATAGAAATAATATCGGTTTGAGCGATGTTTATCGACATTTTAACATAGGTTTTGTCATTTTTCACCTATAAGCAAGATTGCCTGCAGTTCTACATTTTGCTGTCACTTTTAATGACTTTGATAAGTCATTGACACAATGTAGGTTTTTGGCGAAGAGAAGATGTGTGTATGAACTTATTATGCATGCCGTTTATTTTTGCTTTTGTGTTACCTTACTGATTTGAGGGACCGACGTGACCAAATGGTTATTGTTACACCTCTTTTGTTCATGAGTGAACACGTCTCAGACATAAAGATAGCATCATTACTGGATTCACATTAACTAGTATGTGTTAATGAAAGTTTATTAGGACAAGGTCACAAAGAATCAATTTGAATAAATTGTATTGTTAAATTTCTTTACATGTTCACACTTTTCAAAGTGGCATTTTCGAATGAAATACAAAAAAGAGAGTATTTAATGGTGAACTACCTGAAAAGAAATTTAGTAAGTTATAAAATGTATCTCATTTCTGATAGTTTGACGCCTTTGAAATTTATGTAAGAATAAATTTTGCCGATAAGTACTAAAAAGGATGAATGTGTTTAAGAACAAAAAGCTCAAGGCATATTTAGACTTTGGTATCACCTGAATCGGTAGGTCGCTTACCAGACGACAGTAAGCTGGTGTATGTTACATAGCATATCTGAATAAAATATTTTATTTTTAACAAAATTTGTAAACATAGAAGTCCATAAATCAAAAGCATCTGGAATGACAGGCATGAATATCATATTTGGGTATGTTTGGATCATTTGATTTTAAGTAATGTATAAAGCAAGGACAATAATTGGATGGTGACGGAGTTTTATATTGCCATCTGTTTCGCTGTTCAGCATGAAATCCGAAGTCGTGGCACAACGACAAGGCCTACAGAAATAAAATGAAAGTGATCCCTGATGTTTTGCTGGTGAAAATGGCAATTAAACCAAACGCAATGAAACACAACCGCGCATTCACACAGAGAAAACTTTTTTTCAAAAGATAATTTATGTGAATTTTATTAAAAATATTCAATTTGGTATTCAGATTGTAGAAAGCTAGTTCTTACAGCACTATACAAAATTAGCAGTCTGGTACTAATATATTTATGTTGGAGTTTACGTCGCGCCAACACATTAAGGACATATGGCGACTTGTGAAGAAATATCTCAGATGCCCTTTCGTTCATTTTTTTCAGGCAAAAACGAGAACCTGATTAGAGCTAGCGATGTTCCGTAAGCTAGCTGGGGTATCGTTCTCATATGAAAGAATACTAAGTCCCTGGCGTGATTCGAGGCAAAAGCGGTACGGGGCAAGTAGATGAACACTAGCATGGTTATTAACATGCTTAATCGCAAAGAATTATACTGAGTATACAGATGAGTATTCTATGCACCTAAAATGTAGCGTAGTTGCATACTATACTATAATCTATAGCTTTTAGATTTTATTTTCAAACAAATAGATAGTTAAAAAGCATGTTTTGTCTTGAGTCAACAGATGAATCGGGACGTTACTTTATGACCCCAAGTTACTTAATATATAGATACATGTACAAACAATTACTCAATATTTATTGTAATATAACTACATGCTTACTTAATTTCATAATGAATATATATCTTGCGACAATAAACGGTAGTACTTCGGACTTTAACGTCAAGGAATCGTGCGACATTTAAAGTTACAATTGCGACATTTCATGGGAAAAGGTTTTGCAACACATTTAGCGGCGTTGCGACATATAACGACGCAACAATCATATCTACTTCTTTCTTATTAAATAACACAATAAAATGTTCAACACCTATCAAGCTTAAGCAATTCTCAATTTTCAACAAAAACAAGTATTACAAACGGTGTTTACACTCGTCTGTTAAAAATGTTAATTACCATGGGACATAACTCAAAAATATTGCTTTCAGAATTATGCCAAATGTTAAAAAAGCAAACAAAAATGCACCATGTCCTGATAAAAAAATCATGATGATATCATTTAAAAGGGTTTGAGCTACTTCAACGATTTCGCTACGACGAAAATAACAACGACGCCGCAGCGATCATAACAGCTTGATGTTTTCTTCTAGCTAAAATAAAATGAAATAAAACATTTCTTTTGTAACACACTGTGCCTCTTGTCCTCTACACGCTAAAATTTCATTAACATTGCCACGATGCCCATACAACGTGACATATTGCAAGTATGATGTACATTTGCAACGGGAAGGTAAAAGCAATGTATTCTAAGTTACGTTAGTGTTAAACGTACTAAATTATACTAGTTTTGTCGCGTTCTTATCTAAAAATGGCCAACATGGCCAGGATAATTTGCGAGTGGCATATAATTGCACTTAAAAGTCAGTATAGTTTAACTTAAATCTTATCTATTCGACCTATTTTTATCAAAATTTATGCCATTCATC